CAACTTGGGTAGAGTGGAAGTGGCAGCTGAAATGTGGGCAGGAAAAGAAAATGAAAAAAAAAAAAAAAAAGCAAAGCTTGAGGCTTGTCCAAACCTACTCATGTTTATACTGGAGCCTCTGAGTGACATCAGAGCAGGGAGAGTATAAACACCAGCAGGACCTACTCGGGGCTTTAAAACCTGCAGACACGCTGCAGCCTCCAAAGTGCCTGCGGGATGTGCTGAAGTGGCGGCAGAAAGAGCAGCATGAGGCTCCAGCTGGAGAAGCAGCTTCTCCTCTTCTCCCTGCTCTGCACCCTTTCCAAGGTAAGGGAGGGGGATCCTGGGGTGCCGTTGGCAGCAGCCAGGGAAGTGCCTGATTCTTGCAAAATCCCAGCTCAGAGCCCTTGGCCCCACGTGCAGAGCCTGCAAGCAGAGGGGATTTATCCGTGCTGTCTCGGAGGCAAAGCAATGTCAGACAGAGACACGTGGCACGAAGCAGCAGGGTCCTAACGCCCCCGGGCCGGAGGTGCCCCCTGTGCGTGTCCCCAGGGCACACAGGAGGACAGGGATGTGCTCTGCTTGCTCGTACCTTCCCAGGAGCTCCTGCACGTCCCCCTGCCACATGGCTCCTGCTGCAGAGCCCTTGCTCTGGGCTCCAGTAGCCAGGCAGAGGGCCAAGGAGCCAGAACCAGCCTCACCATTACTCGGTTTTACCCCCCGCCCCTCGCTCCCACCGTGTTGCTCACGTAGAGCTGATGCCACCTACGGGATCTGTGTTGTCCTAGTAATATTTTTTTTTCCTCTTGGACTGTGTGTGACAGAGTACCCTGTGCAGAGAGCTGGAAAGCTGAAAAGTTTGGGGTATTTCAGTTATTTCAGTTGCAATTTCTTTTAATTGCTGTTTGAATCCTCAAGATAAACCTTCTGCAAGCAGGGCTATTGTGGCAACTTCTTGCTTGTCTGACTCTTAATAGACAGTTTAGATCTCTAAGAGGAGATGCTGTCAGCCAAAGACAAGCTACTTGCAAGGGGTAGCGGGAAACTGAGTAAAGGAGTTGGCCTCAATAATCTTTCCAGAGCATCAATCTGTAATAGTAACCTCCTGAAAGATGAGGAAAAAAAAAAAGCATTGGCTGCTGGGGGAAACAGTAACTGAGAAATGATACTGCCCCAGGAGTGCTCACTGCATGTCTGAGGAATCACCAGTGCCCTTGGGTATCTCCAACCCCATCCCTGTCACCACAGATAGTCCTTCAGTCACTGCCATGGTTCTCACTACGATCTTTGTGATGGTAACTAGGCAATTCATTAATTAAATAAGAATGCACATATTTTCCAGGCCATTTTGGTTATATTTCACCTTCAATTACTAGCACTGACATTGCGAGAGAGTATGTGGCCACCTAAACTCCTGCAGATGAGCAAAGCAGAGAGCATGGCCATACCCACCTTCTCTGTCCTTCCAGGCATGTCACACCTGGTGACAAGGGAAGAGACTTAAGAAAGAGACATGGTAGGCAAACCAGGCAGGCTGCAGCTGAGTCTATCCATCTCTGGGCAGCCTCAGCAGAGGTGCCTGTGCCTGGGTCTGCTTGCAAAATGAGCTATAAGTACCCGCCGCAGGGCTGGGTGAACCCCTGCAGCGTCCAGCCCTGGCAGAGTGGCCATCGCGCAGGCAAATCATTGCGAAAGGGATTAGACTGACCTGGAAGGGAGATTTAGCTCCAGTGTCTGCACATGAAGCAGTCGAGGAGCTCCTTGCCCAGCTGCCCAGAGCAGGTGGAGGATACTGCATCACGGTACAGACATGCACTCCATCCTTCAGGCTGCAGCTCTGTTCATGTCACAGACAAGCTCTGCGAGCACAGTAGTCTTCCAGGCTGCTTTGCCCCATTCCTGGAGGCTGAGCCTCCCTCCACCGAAAAGCTATCCCCAGCCAACTGTGGCTGAGGGGTCCTGGTGTCTGCAGGGAAGCAGCAGCAGTGACGGGGTCATTTTTCCTCTGCAGGTGTGTGCCCAGCTGTGCCAGCGACCCTGCTACTGCCCCTGGGAACCCTCCCGCTGCCCCCACGGCTCCCCGCTCGTCCTGGATGGCTGTGGCTGCTGCAAGGTCTGCGCACGGCGCCTGGGCGAGCCCTGCGACTTCCTCGCCGTGTGCGACCAGAGCCAGGGCCTCGTCTGCGACTACAGTGCAGTGCGCGCAGGCACGGCGGGCACCTGCAACTGTGAGCATCGCTGCTGGCCCGGGGCGCTCCAGGCCGCCCGACCGCAGGGGCAGAGCCGTCCCAACCCCAAGAGCAGCTTTTCTAGGGCTGGTGCACGGGTAGCTTGGGATGGGGGTGCTCTGAGCGGGGAAGGAGGTGGCTGACAAGGAATGGAGTCCCTAGGTGCTGGAGCGTGGGGTGAACCCAGCTTGGGCTCAAGGAGGAGCAGGCATTGCCAAGGAAAGGCAGAAAGAATAAACCCTGGTCCCTTGGGAGTCCTTGAAGCCATGGGCTGTCAGATGTCACATCAGCAGCTCCTCAGAGGCCAGGAGAGCCATGGTTGGACTCTACCAAGGCCAGAGATGGAGCAAGGCAGGAGGAGGCAGCTCAGATAGAGGTGGCAGCTCCCCTCTGGTGCCAGCCGCATGGGTGCCCTTCAAGTGTCCCGGATCCCTTGGACACCCACAATTCACCAGCTCTTTGTCCCTAACTTTGTCCCTGGCTGTTGCTTAAAGTCGAGGGTGACGAGGAGAGCTGCGAAGTGAACGGCCGCGTCTATCGAGACGGGGAGGTTTTCCAGCCCAGCTGCAAGCTGCAGTGCCGCTGCTCCGACGGAGGCGTCACCTGCGTCCCACTGTGCCAGGAGGACGTCCGCCTGCCCACGCCGGACTGCCCCTTCCCACGGCATGTGGACGTCCTGGGGAAGTGCTGCCAGGAGTGGATCTGCGAGAGCCGGGAGCTGCCCCCGTCCGCAGCGGCAGGTGATGCACAGAGCGCGGCCAGGTGCTCCTGAAGTCTGGGCACAGCCCCTTCCCCAGTACCCTGTGCTGGGAGCATCAGCGGGAGATGATTCATTGCACGTTCACCCTCAGATATCTATGACCCACTTCCCAAACCAGTGCCAGCTGGGCACCCATCCTGGGCTCCAAGCACCCTTTCCTCCCCTCTCCCCACACAGCGCCCAGGATCCCGGGGCTCCCCTACCCCTGCAAGGAGTGGAGCACAGAGTGGAGCGCCTGCTCGGTCACCTGTGGCCTGGGCTTCTCCAGCCGTGTGTCCAACCAGAACCGCCACTGCCGCCTGGAGACGCAGAGACGGCTCTGCATGGTCAGGCCCTGCCAGGCTCTGCCGCGTGCATCCCTGGCGGTGAGTCGGGCTTCTGGGGACTCGGACACCTCTGGACAATGGGTGGGACAGGGAGGGGGGCATTTCCAGCCAGCACAGGAGCCATGGGACCCGCCAGGTGCCTGGAGACACCTCAGCAGCCTTCCCCCCCACCCCAGCCACGAGCTAACCACATCTCAGGGCCAGAAAAGCCATCTCCTGAGACCTCTCTTGGGAAACTTACCCCAGCACTAGATGGCAAGTGTAGGCTTGTATTTGGGGATCTCTGGAGGTCAGAATCCAAGAAAACAGATGGAAACCATATGGCCCTGAGCCAGGGTTGATTCGAGGTGCCTGTGCAGCAGGGGACATGTTTGTGGCTCCCAGGTTCTCCTGAGCAGCAGGGCTTCAATGTGCCTGGTTCAGACCCCATGCAGCCAGAGCATAAAACCGCCTCACTGCGGTGCTGCAAGGGCTCTCCCGGGCCAGCTGCCCCTGCTGCCATTGACCCCATGATGTCCCGCAGTGCCACAGCTTGCAGTGTTCCCGTCTCCATGTCACTGTCTGCTCTGCCTTTCCAGAGGGGAAGAGGCGGTCTCATGTAGTAATGCCTGCCCTGCTCACAGCCTGGAGCCAACAACTTGTCCCAGCAAGGAGCCATACCCAAGCCCCCAGTGCTGCAGTTTCGATGGAGATGGAGGACACATCCCCTGGGAAACCAGGAAGAACAGATGGACCTTGGCTGCAAAGGAGAGTGGAAAATTGAGACTAAGACCCCATTTCACGCAGCACCTGCCCCCTCGTGTGCACCTCTGTTCCCCCAGGCAGGGCCACTGTCCAGCAGGGAAAGCGTCCCTGAGACCTGGTCAGTGCAGTAGCAAGAGGATCCAGCTGGGGACTCCTGCTGTAACATGGCCACTGCAGCAATGCTTGGGGGTTAGGGCGATTCCCAGGACAAGGCTTCGGGAAAGTGCTTTGCCAAAGGGAACACGGAGGAAGGCTGGGCCAGCTCTCTCCAGTGGTCGTGGTCACACTCGAGCAGCCAGTGCCCTTGGGACCAGCCTGCCAGCTCATGGTGGCCACCTGAACACACACGTGTGGGTGTCCACCAGCAGCAGGGCTAGCCCCAAGCCGGGCAGCATCCCACAGTGGCTTCCAGACCTTCCCAGAGAGACATCAAGACAGGCCCGGGGTGCATCCTGCCCCGTTTTCACCTCTGAGAGGTGAGACAGCAACCTGGGCAATGAGGGACTTGTGCAGAGGTCTGGGAGCCAGGGAGATCCCAGCTCCTTCACAAGAACCGGCCCGCAAATCCAGGAATTGCTCCTTCACAGGATGGGGCTGGGGCTGACAGGGTAGGGCCAGGTGATGCTGTTAATTCGCCGCGAGCCCCGTATGCGGCTCCGCGGGGGCTGAAATGCCTCAAGCACCACAGACCAGAGCCCTCGTGGTACCTGCGCTGCCTGGCCTGCCGGGGACGGCACGGACAGGATGGGCAGGATGGGCCTCGCAGTGCAGGTTATCTCCGCTTGGGGCTGCCCAGCTCCACGGCTCACACACGCTCAGTCATCCCACAGCATCTGCTAAGCCAACACACAGCCACATTCCTGGGCATGGGCAGAAGCGTCCTCCCCACGGCATCTCCAAGACACCTCCCCGCATCCCTCCAGAATAAACACAAACCTTCCTGCTCCGCCTGGCCTCTCCTTTCCAAAGCACTGGTGGTTTGGCAGGGCTGTGGCAGCAGGGAGCTCAGATGCGGGAGACGACACTCCGCGGCACCAGACATACCACCTAACACCCAAGCGCAAACCCTGAAGGCTAAGGCCAAAACAAAGGCAGGAAAAGAGAAATCAAGTTACAAAGATGAGTCAGAACTGTCTCCCGACAGTCTGGAACTGCTCCCGCAAGGCAAACAAAGTGAAGTGGAGTAAAGTTGTGTGGAAGGGAGGAAAGCGGCACGACAAGGAGTCTGGCGTGGCCAGGCAGGATGCTGCAGCCTGGGAGAGCCTAGAGCAGGAGGCATCGGGACCGAAAGGAAAAGCAGCGAGATGCACATGGCTTCAGTTCTCCTGCTGCTTATGCATCTTCCTGATTCTTGGCATCCTCTCTTTCTGGGGATGAATTTGTCTGCTTCTGGGAAATACATCCCGTATCTATTCAATCACTGTTATACTCACAATACCTGTTTGAAAATGTCACTTTATAAGTAGGAGGCTGAAATACAGAGAGTCCTGATTTCAGCACACACACTATTAGGAGACAGATTTGTTTGTAGCTGTTGTCCTGCTTCAAAGAAACTCCTCTCTCCACATACAAAGACTTCAGTGCTGACAGAAACAACAAACACTTGTGTGGTTAAACTTGGAAATTTGGAGGCTTGTCACTGAAGCACCGTGTCACATAGGCCAGCCTAGAATTATTGGCATAAAGTTTTGGTCACTGAATTTTTAATTGTTTCCCCTACACACACACTCCTCCTAGCAGCATCTCCCAAAGTTTGGGGTGTTTCTCCTTAGAGCAGAGGTTCCATTTTGTTTTCCCACACAAGAAACTTGGCCTTTCCCACCAACCTTACTTCCGCACACAGGAAATCCTGAGTATTCCCTGGCCTCAGCAATGGCTACCCTGGCCTTGCTCAGGTGAAAAGGGGAGCTGGGAAACGAGGGCTGAGAAACCTGGGGTCTGCTTCACAGTTGCTGCCTCAACTCCTGCCACACCCTTGCAATATCTGGGCATCTTCTGCATCATGTCTTGCTTTCCTTGTCAAAAAAATCTCGCAGAGGAGGAGGTGGAAGCGAAACCATGTGCTCTGGGGGGACTTATACAAGCAGGCTCTGACCTTCACCCCTGCACGTGCCCCTTCCTTGGGGCGCTCCAAGGGGCTTGGGGCAGCTCTGGGCTCTGCAGCCCCATGCTGGGACAAGGAGAAAAGGTGCCGGACGCATGTATGGGGTGGGAGTTCCCCAGATGGCTGCCTTCCTTCTCCAGAGATGGGTTTCCTGCACCCCGCCCCCAAATAGGACAGAACGAACAGGAAACAACCTAAAAAATTGACGCTTTGAGGGCCTGTGCAAGACACCTGCCACCAATCTGGGCGGCCAGAGGCAATCTGGGCGGCAGGGCCAGACCTGCCCTGCATCTTCATGAGGTGCACGATGCCCAGGTACCGGTGGACGCGGAGGCAGGTGAGGAAGCCGATGCTGGCTTGGAGGTTGAGGTGGAAGAAGCTCCGCGTGAGGTGGCACCACACCGTGCCGAACACCCACCGTCTGCTCTGTGCGTAGTAGCTCACCAGGAAGGGCAGCGTGCTGACACAGAGCAGGTCGGCCAGGCCCAGGTTGCCCACGAGCAGGCTCAGGGTGCTCCACCACAGCCGGGTGTGGAGCTGCCGCAGCCCCAGTCCATTGCCCACCAGCCCCAGCGGGATCACCACCAGGTAGACGGCGGGCAGGTAGTGGTGGGCAAAGGCCATGTTCATGGAGCATGCTGCCTTGCTGACATGGCCAGGAGGGCAAAGTCCAGTTTGGAGCAGCCTCCATGGCCATGGGGCTGTGCAGCTTGTAGGGGTGCTGGGGGAGAAGTGCTGGTTCCTCTGGTTCTGCTTCCTCATGCCAGGTGGTGCCTCTGGGTGATGATTGCGGTGGTGGAGGGGCCAGGGCGTGGGGCGGGGGACGGGGAATGAGCTCCTGGAGCGGTGCCCGCAGGAGGTGCTGCCAGGAGCCACAGAGCAGTAGGAGGAGTGTGGTGCCCAGTACTACGAGCTGTAGTCAGGAGCATGAGGCCTGCACCTTCGGAGCCACAGAGCAGTGCCCGGGTTAGGGTTTAGGGTTAGAGTTAGGGTTTAAGGGTTAGGGATTAGGGTGTAGGGATAGGGTAGGCGTTAGGGTTTAGGGTTAGGGGATTAGGCGTTAGGGGTAGGTTTAGGATTAGTGTTAGGGTTTGGGGTTAAGGTTAGGGGTAGGGTTGGGTTAGGGTTTAGGATTTAGGGTTAGGGTTGGGTTAGGGGTTAGGGAATGTGCACACGAGGACCAGGAGCTTTGCAAGTGGTGCGTTTTGTACGTATGTGCGTCCATGTGCTGTCGTGGTTGTGCCCCCTAGATTTTCTTACCAGTGTTTGGAGACGCGACAGAGGTGCGAGCTATTCTGTGAACGCTAACGCAAAAAGCAGGTAGTGTCCTCTAGGAAACAGCGTTATATAATATAATATATAATTATATAAATATCATTATCAATAAATATCATTATCAAAATATCATTATATTTTATTGAAATACTAAATTGAGACATTTCCATACAGTTTATCCTTAAAAGTTCGCAAGACTGCAAAGTATGGGGTTTTCCCATAGGTAAGACTTGTTTTATGATATCTTATAAAATTTCTGTATTATACTAAAACTTTCTGCATTTCCCATTCTATTATCTTACAGTGTATTTTTGGAAATGAATGTTTAACAAATAATAGTATGCTGTCCATTTAAATAGTATTTTTCATTTAATTAAATAAAGCAGCTATCTTGGCTTGAACTATAATCATTTGCTGAGACCCTCAGTCAAGCAACAGCAACTCTAATAGGGAGAGATTTATTCTTTGAAAACAGTGAATACAATTCATAAAAATATTTGTTTATAGTTTTGGCCTGCTCTTTGCCCCTGAGCCACCTGGCCTCTCATATGGGGGCCTCTGAGCCTCCCAGCCTCCTCTATGGGGTCTCTGAGCCTCCCGGACTCCTCTATGGGGGCCTCTGAGCCTCCTGGACTCCTCTATGGGGGCCTCTGAGCCTCCTGGACTCCTCTATGGGAGTCTGGGAGCTTCCCAGCCTCCTCTACAGGGGCCTCTGAGCCTCCCAGCCTCCTCTATGGGGGACTGGGAGCCTCTCGGCCTTCGATATGGGGGGCCCTGGAGCTTCCTGGCCTCCACTAAGGGGAACTGGGAGCCTCCTGGCTTCTCATATGGGGGCCTCTGAGCCTCCTGGACTGCGCTATGAGGAGCTGGGAGCCTCCTGGCCTCCTCTGTGGGGGCCTCTGAGCCTCTCCTATCGGGGTAGCCGTAGGGAAATGCTGTGCTGAGGATCTGCACCACCTGCGCCTTGCTGATAATGTACAGAGGAGTGTTAGCAAATTGTCCTTGGCCGGCTGGGAATGAGGAGCTCGCGGGGAATGAGGAACTCGCCGCTTCTGGTAAACAACTTCACAGAGCTGACAAGAGCCTGTGCGGTCGGGACCTAGCAACCCATCACAATGAGCCTGGAAATCCCTCTGATGCTTGTAAGTATCATTACACACGCACTTAGGCTAATAAACGGAGCAAGACCTAACCTCATGTTGAGTCCGTATCTTGTAACCCGGCTCGGCTCCCGGAAAGGCCGTGCAGTTATCCTGCGCTGGTCCCAACAGCTGGCGCCCGAACAGGGACCCGACAGCAGGAACGTTGGGACCTGATGGCAGGGGACCAAACGGCAGGAAAGTTGCTGCGACGGGTGGGAGATCCTGGGTTGCTACGGCTTGATGGAGGATCGAGGAGCCGGGAAGCGGCGTCCAGTGCGAGGTATTCTCTACTACCAATCAGGCCTGGCTGGTGCAAAAGAAAAAAAGGAGGAATTATAGAGGA